GGTGGGGAGCAAGAAAAGAGCCTTGCCCGGGTATCCAATGTACTCAGTACTATTATGAAACCAATATATAATCACCCACACTTTCATATGAAAGATAGAACACAACTATAGCCCAGGATAAAGGAGGGAAGAGGAGGGGGAGGTGGGGAGAGGGTGGATGGAGGGAGGGAGGGTAATCGGTGGGACCACACCTATGGTGCCAATTGCAAGGGTACAAGTCAAATCTCTTAAATGTAGAGTATAAATGTCCTAACACAATAATTAAGTGAGGTGAAAGCTATGTTAACCAGTTTGATGTAATGTAAGCATTCCAAATTGCATATAAAATCATATATGCATTAATGTATACAGTTATGATTAAAAAAAAAAAAAGAAGAAGAACGTTGCCCCAGGACTCATCTCAAGGGTGTGAACACCACCTTCTGCCGCAGGCTCCAGGAGAAAGAAATTCAGCACAACCAGTGGGCCTGCATGTGCCCTCTTCTGCAGAAAATTGGTTTCCTGTCTGCCAGTTTTATTTTATTTCACTTTATTTTTGAAGTTGCATAAAAATATTTTTAAGCCAAATTTTGTACTTAAGAACCAATAATTTGGGGGCAGAGCCAAGATGGCAAACTGCAGCCAGCTATTTACAGAAGGTCCCCATGGAGAAGGAGGCTTAAAGGACAGAAGTTTAGCAAGTTAGCTGATGGTTTGGAGCAGAGCCAAGAGAGAAGATTGACGAGCACACTTCAACCTTCCTGAGGTGAGCTGCGACCCCAAAAATACAACCAAAAGGTACAAAATCCACCACCAAGCTGACGGAAGTCCCCTCCCCCACAACAAGGGCTCGCAGTTTACTCCATGCAAACAAGCAAGCAGAGTTCAAACTTCCTCCCACTCTATCCCACGGGAGAGACCCCCCAAAAACTGGACCTCCTACCCCTGCTGGCGTGCCACGGCACCCTCCAGCCAGGCATAAAACTGTAAAACTGTATAAATCTGTATATATTCCCCACCTGCAACATTGAACTCCAAGGAGACCCCACCCACCCACTCCCAGATCTGGAGGTTTGTTACCTATGGAATCTAGATTCTTGGGCATCTCTTTGAGAGAAGTAGAG